AGTAATCGGACACCAATCAATGAAGAAAAAAAAAGAATATTTTTAAGGTTTCCCAGAATACTAACCTTGAGTTTTTGTTCAAGAAAAAATAACACAGCAATTATAATTTGTCATATCCGGTGAGATCAAAAATAATGACATAATAAGAATGTTAAAATTATAACCCAGGAAAAAATATTTTTATATGTACCAAGAGAATTATAAGGGTGTAAATTACTGAGAGCTAAGTTTCGGCCCGAGGGACAATAATTGTACAAGACATATTCTAATACCACAGTAATCTGTTTTGTTTTTTAATTTTACATAAAAGACTAGATAAATTCAATTTTATAAACAATTCTAGTTCTATTTAAATAACGAAAGAAAATACTTATAATACGAATAAGTTGAATGTCGGGTACGTACGTCAAGTATGATTCAATCTGCGACAGAACAATGGACAAAGACAAAACGCACGCACTTACATGTGAATTAGGCTTAATAATGGCGTGTTTTTTTTTATTTCAATAAGGAAAAGCGTAGACAATGCGGTTTGTATTAGGTTAATACACGTGCACGTTTCTTAGCCAGAAGAAAAAACTTATTTTTCAGTACCTAGTAGCATAATTGTATGACTTCCAGTTAAAGGTACTTTTAGCCTTTTATTTTATCAATAAACACACTGTATATTTTATTCTGTTTACAACGGTGTATACAGGATGAGTCTTAAATAAATGCAAATATCTTCAGGGCTGGTAAATCTCAATAAAACAAACATAATATTTTCTCTTTAGTGTTTTTCTAATAAGTCCCAAAGAACCGAGTATTATTCTACTTTGAAAAAAATTTCAAAAAATATTGATTTTTTCGCTTAAATATTGAGAACCTCTGGAGTTTACTTTCTTGTAAATTTAATCTACTATCTGTGCTGCCATATTATGAAAATATTATGTCTTTTAACTAAAAATTTAAAAAATCTCCAAATTTTTTTTCAAAAAAATCAATTTTCATAGACCTGTTTCTGGGGTCAAAATATTCCACTTCTAAAAATATTTGCACTTATTTAAACTCACCCTGTATAATAAGCTAGAGTCAATTCTGATTGTTAGCATTTATTTCCTATTATACTGTATGATCGAAAAAAAAGGCGTCAAAGATGATTGGGGAACTACAATCGTTGATAATTAGGTATGGCAAGGTCAATCTCTAAATGTCATTTACTAAAAATTGACATAAAATTTGCCAGAAATATCAATACTATTTATAAAAAGATTAAAAAAAGATAGAACGTTTCCAGACACACAAATCTATTCACAAAAAATTATTTTTTCAAAATGCCAAAATTATCATCGATTCTCATTCCGCAGCCGCCTTTGACAGCGTTTTTTTTTTATCGTATGGTAGATAGGTATATTTTATTAGGAAATAAGGACACATTAATTAGAAATTTCCCTAGATAATTATTAAAATTACACCTGTTTCCATTTAAACTCTCTAAATAAATAAAAACCAGTCGACATTAATATTATTAAATGCAAATTTAAAGATTAAAATATTAAGTATTAAATAAACAATTCACAATAAAAAAATGAACGGAAATCAAGACCATATTACGCGGACCAAAAAAAGAGGCGGATTTTCAAGGCCAACAGATAAGGCTTAGAATAATGAGTCATGTAATTTCAATTTCCCACGTTAGGGGGATTTGAATTTGACGTGATTGCTAAAGAAGTGTTGAAGATGGATTTGACCATAGCTCCGGGTTCAAGTTATATACGCATTGTAATACATAATAGTATTAAAAAATATGTACAGGGTGTACCATTTTAGGTTGTTTTATAGGGTTTCTCGATAATGAGTAGAGATACAAAAATGCGGTTTTCATATAGCTGTGCTACTTTTTATGCAACCTAAAATGCTACACGCATATTTGTCCTAGCCCTCTCTGTTTTCTGAAATACATTGCAAATTTAAAAATGTTTCATTTTTCGACTCCCCTGGTATCTCGGTTGTTTTATTACGTATCGAAAAGGTGAAAACTGAGTTTCGTAGAGTTTTTCACGTAGAATCCAGTGGCGTTACACTAGTTTTTAGCTGGGAGCTGTCATTTTCGAAATATGACCCAAACTATGTTTTTTTTTTAACGGGACACCCTGTATATTTTTTTATCTTATTTGCGTTCTTATGAGATGTCTAAAAATATAATATACTCTACAGTGAGCTCTATATATTTTCATTAATAAGGTAAAATAATATGCATTATTTAACCTTGTAACATAAACCAACCTATACTTTAAAAGAGTATTATTATTTTATTTTTTTATTGATTACTTTGACAGGTCGTAGCTAAACGTGACCTGTCAAAAGTAATCAAAATAAGTATTTAAAAAAAGAACAGTAAAAACAGAGTCGTACTTAAGTATATAAATTAATTAAAACCCAAAAACATTTTAAATTACTTTGTCAAATTATTTTTAAACTGAACAATTATTGTAAATTGTATTGTATAAACATTTATTATGAAATTCTCCCACAGTGTAATGTAATATTAAAACAGTTTAACACAAAGGTTAATGATATTTTATCACAAAACTGTTACTAAATATTTTTTAATGAAATAGTATCTATCTACACATGACTAACTGTTGGAAATATGTCCATTAGGCTTGGCCAACCACACATGCATATAGCTAAATTACTCAAAAAGATAATGCAATTTGTCTCAAATATACACAGCGGTTTCCAGATATTTGACCCATATACCGGGTGCGTCTCAAAAGTGGCTTACCCCTATAACTTTTTTTATTTTTTCAGATAAAAAAACAAGATTTGGTATGTTAGTATATGACATAAATTAGGATTGATTGACGTATTCAATTGTTATCGGTCACTTCCTGTTTCACCGGAAATAACTACAACTTTTGATTTTTAAATGGCACCCTAGGTATTTTTTTGCTTTATTTGATAGAAAATGACACTCTGAATAGAATGACATATCATATGTCAAGTTTTGACATTTTCGAATATGGTTTATTTGAAATTGTAACATGCGGTTCATAAGGACAATTTGACTCGAAATACCAAGTGTATGGTACCAAATTATTCGCAAAAAATATTTTTCCAAATATGCTAATGAACCACCATTCCATTTGAAAAAATTGAGATATGATTAAAAATACGATTTATGCATCTTTTAACCGACCAGTATAAGACAAGAAAAACATTACACCATCAAATCTATTTTTCCAATACTCCTTGATTAAAAATTAGGCCATGGCACTCTAGATTGAAATTTAAAGTAACATTTTTTTTAAACAAAAATGTCAAATGACATGTCATTCTATTCAGAGTGTCATTTTCTATTCAATAAAGTAGAAATATATCCAGGCTACCATTTAAAAATCAAAAATTGTAGTCATTTCCGATGAAACAGGAAGTGATAAAAAACAATTGAATACGTTAATCAATCCTATTTTATGTCATAATATACTAACATACCAAATCTCGTTTTTTTTTATCTGAAAAAATAAAAAAGTTATAGGGGTGAGCCATTTTTGAGACGCGCCAGGTATATTTATCTTAAAACTAAGTGCCATCATTGGATATCAATGGACTTGATTGTAAGTACGTAGGTATGTAAATTAAAACCGATGGTATGCCATTGGTATTCCAGGCGTGTTCCACCCCCGTAAAAATATAGTACCGAGAAAAGAACACAGCGAGCAGCCATCGAACAAAAGCTTCACCTTTTTAATCCTTTCGTCAAGAATTAATACTTTTATACGACAGCAGAATGAAATTGCTCATATCGAATTCACTCCATGACTAATAGAATACCATGTAAAACATGGTAGACGTCATACCTTGAATTTCGATGAACTGTGAGACGAAAAAACGTGAATTCTTTGAATGATTACACTCTTCAAGTAATATGAACAATCCTAAACATTATTTAATACTCTTAAACTAATCTTAGGGCACTGTTTCTTATAAAAGAGCTGTATTATAATACAAACACTTATATTTTAATAATTTTGAGCCTCTTTGAATCACGAAAGCCTTTTAGAATAACTCGTTATCTTGATTTAAAATCCAACAGCTTTGCATAATGTCAAAGCCTATTCAAACGTAAATATTTCCCTATTGCATCAAGCCGGTAAATTGTTTGGTAATTAACTATTTCAGGTCGTTTTAGAGCTTGTAATTGAACGTTTTTCAACAGAAAAAAAGTAAACAATCACTGGTCTAACCTAACTATGCTGACAATACAAACAAAACTTACCTTTCCCGTTGCCTTCTTATAGCGTAGCGTGGCCTCCCTGATCAGATCCTTAACCAGAATATCACCTCTTCCACAGGGAACTACAACGCGGATATTCCCGAAGCACACCGTTACCTTCATTTTCGAAATACCAGCGAAATTTTATTAAAATCCTCGCGTTTTTTAAACTCCGTACAGTTGGGACGCCATGCTGCACCGCACAGGTAAAAAAACAAATTTTAACAACCACCTGTCAAGCAACGGAGTTATCCGATTGGAGGAAATTGTTCGACGGCGGGCGTCGCGGTTTCCACACACAAATTAAAGTTTTCCTGTTCACATTTCAAAATCAAAACAATGCGAGGGAGCCGAATTTGCACAATGCTTTCACTCTCTGGACATTTTACGGACTGAAAAAAATTTCAAACGAGTTTTTTCCCCCACTTTTCGCACCTGAGCGCGCCGCCAATCGCCGACGGCGGTTTGAAAGGGATCGGAATGCCGGCCCTCTGGTTCAGAGGTGGAGAACTAATCATGGAATTTAATTGCCGCCATGTTGCCAATATTATGTAATATTCCTAGGAAAATTATTCATTTTAAGAGGTCTCTATAGTTGTTGAGAGAAGATGTCATCTTAAAATAATTAACCATTCTTCTGTCTAGAATAAAATTACTTTTTTATAAATCTAACACTTACCGTTGAATTTAGTATCTATTAAAATTACTTATAGAAAATTTTATATTTCCTCGGTAAGTAAATAAATTGGCAACAGTGCAAATCTAACCAAACTTTTTTCTTTTTAAACTTAATTTTTTTCTTAAATAAAAAACATTTATTATTCATAACAATGCGTGGGTGAATAAAACAATGAGAAATAAGTGAAAAACTAGAGCTTGGAAACTAACTAGGATTCTTTAAGTGTACGTAATTGTATCATTATAATTTAATAATTAAATTTTCTCTTTTATTTTAGATTACAAACAAATAAAAACCTCAAGATATTTATGTTCAGTATGTAATAACATGGTCCATTTTTACACCAAACTTAATTTTATTATTGGAATTGCACTAGGAGTATTGCTAGCTGTATATTTTCAGCAGTTTAAGATAAATGGTGGCCAGAAGTCAAGAAAAAATGATTTTTTATATCAAAAATGGTTTAAAAAAGAAAAACTGTCCAGAACTAAGATTGCTTGGGATGGATTACGTTATTCAAACAAATCTTATTATTTGGAGTCCGAATATTTATATAATAAAGTAACAATTCTTTGTATAATATTTGTGAAACATCAAAAATACTTGGAAGCTGCTAAAAATACATGGATAAAAGGCTGTAACACTATAAAACCCATAGTAACAGAAACACAAAATAAGATTATGCCTAGAAAGCAATCTAAAGATAAATCTTCGTGGGCTTTACTATGTAATGTATTAAAATCAAGAGAAATTTCAACTTTTCATTGGGTTTTGATAGTGAGAGATACGACATTTGTAATTATGGAAAATCTGAGATTATTACTAGCACCATTGAACAGTAAGAAGGAGCATTATTTTGGACATGTGGCTAAGTTTTGGGGTGTAAATTATAACACAGGCGATGCTGGCTATGTTCTAAGCGATGGTGCTTTAGCATCGTTTCAGAAAAGCATTGGCAACGAAAAATGCTTAGAAAATAGTTATTGGAACAGAGAAGACTATTATTTAGGTAAGTTTGATCATGTTTTTTAGTTTTTGTTTGGTATCTTGAATCAGGATTATTTTTTTAAAAACGCCGTCCAGTTGGCTTGGAAATGGATTGGATTTCCCAAGGATTTCCCGTATAATTTTACATATAAAATGACAGCGATCTTCATTTCATAGCCATTGCTGACGCCGTTTTTATTCGTTAGTGATTGGTTTTAATTTTGTTTTACCTATTTGTATTTAGATTGTGTTTTTGTTTTGATTTTATGTGCATTTTGTTTGTTTTTGCATGCATGTTGTAGGGAAATATTTAAAATCCTTAAATATCACACCAATCAATGTAATTGACGAGGAATCATTGTCAATGTTTCATCCGTACAGTTGGTATCATGCTTTCTTTCCAGGGGAGGGATATTTTAAAAACAGTGCTTACCCCTATAATTGCTGTAGTAAAAAATCTATATCATTTCAGGTAGTTTTTGAATCTTAATTTAGATTTAAATGCCTGTTTCATGATATTAAATTATTTTTAAGGCTGTAGAAGGTGAAAAAATGTACACCTACAATTATTTACTGTACAAATTACAAATTTTTTCAACTGGTACAAAAGGAAATGTTAAAAGAAATGTATCAGAAATTGAGGATAAAAAGGTTTGGAAAAAATAAAAACTTTTCAATATATTTAAGTTGTTCTGTATAATTTACTTTACATAGGTATGGAAAAAGTTTTTGAAGGAGAGATCAATTATTGATGAAAATATTAGTAGTGATGATTATTACAAATTGTGGGAAAATTTAATACATGATCCCAATTCTTTTGCACAGAACATGAAAAAGGAGAATTTGTTTGACTAATAGTTGGATGGTTGTGATATTTTTTTACTAATAGATATTTTTTTTACTATTTTTAACATATTTTTTATATAAAAAAACATTAAATGAATAATATATTTCTATTTTTTTTTATTATTTCGCGGTATAATATCCAATAGGTTGATTTAGATATACAGGGTGTCTCAAGCTGAGCCTGCATTAGAAGTATCTAGAGAACTACAATATCTAGTTTGGAGATTTTTTGCACATCATTGTTTCACAACGAGAACTATCGATTAAAAATACTTTCAATATGGCGGCACTTTACGTTTTACAATATACGTTTTAAAATTAAACCTTAAATAACTTAAAATAATAACGATTTATTTTGGGTATGGGAACATGTATAGTTAAAAAGAACGAATTGCAAAAACCTTTCTAAAAAAAAGTGGTTTTTCATTTGAAAAAAATGATTTATGGTAATTTTTTAATCTCTCAATTTCATGACAGCTGCCACCATTATTATATAACATTCGAACAATTAAATTTTTTAAATAGATATCCATATGTCTTCTCTTTATGGTGGCTGTGGTAATCACTAAATTTGACTTTTAGGCTATACAAATTTCTTTGACAGGTCGTAGTTAAATAATTTTATATAATATATTTTTTTTGTAAATAGATATGTATGCCTGGAAACATTCTATCCTTTTTTAATTTTTTTATAATTAATTAGTGTTAATTTTTGTTAAGTTAAGTTTTATGTCAATTTTGATTGACCTCGCTAAAATTATCGTCGATTGTCATTCGCAGCCGTCTTTGACACCGTTTTTTTTATCATATGGTATATTTATATACTTTTTGTGTTATTTTTTTCACACAAAATGAATCAGCTGAACATCTAAACATATACATATTACTCTAATCCTTTTTAAATGTAAATGAGATTAAAACAGCCAGCGGGAGAATTTGTAGGGCTTCAATATTTTTTTGCACCCGCATTTTGACGTACATTTTCTATCAAAACTAACGCAAGCGAATGTATTTTTGTGAAATGTTTGTGTGTTTTTTGTTATGTTCTATTTTCACATACACTGTAGCTTTTACCAAAGATTACACGTACTTGGATATTTGCAGTAAGCATTATTCTAGAAAGCTTTATGTCGAATATGGCACATCAGGTGTTTTGTTAGCTGATTATAGTACAGGGTCCTCAAGAAATAATAATAATAATAACGGTGGTTATAAGGAAGGAAACTGCTCAGTAGATTTTATTACATGTCCGTATTGCATTATCGAAATACAGTTCAAGTAAGTACAGAAATTTGTTGACAATAAGGTAAGTTCGGCAACGTTGCGAGAAATATTGTGTTTTGTTGTCATTAGTGACATGTTAGTGACATAACTACTGAATAAAAATAGATGTTGAAAAAAAACACTAATACGTTGTTGTCAGCTGTTTGACTTTTTCAGAAGATTATTTTATTTTAGATTCCTAAATATTTCAAGAACTTGCGACAAGACCTTGTCATTTTCTGAATGCAGCTGTGATTATGTCCTGATCCACGAACCACCATTCAAGGATGCCTCTGGAGAACAGTTCTGTGGTAGATTTCTTCAAAACAACAACGTTTCAGGGTTGGGTTATTTGTCCAGAACCCGGTTTGCCACTGTCGATTTTGTCTTCACCAGAAACTACGGACATGCGTTCACGTTGAAATTTACAGCCAAACGTGAGTTAAAGCATTTATTTTCTCAACATTTCAATAATAAAAAAGTTTTCTTCTTATAAATTCAATCCGGGGACATACTGTATAGAACTTTTTTTCATATGTGAGGAAAAGTTATGTGTTCTACTGAGATTTTCGGCAGTATGGCAACATCACGATAAATATTACCATGTTGCCGTACTTTTTATAATTTTTCTTACTCACAAATAATTGAATTTCTAGTACTGTAGCGTATTTTTGTCCTTTGTAAATAAAGAAACAGTTGTTTTAGCTATCAGAGGACATACTGTATATAACTTCTTTCATATGTGAGAAAAAGTTATGTGTTTTACTGAAATTTTTGGCAGTATGGCAACACCACGATAAATATTACCGTGTTGCCGTACTTTCTATAATTTCCCTGACTCACAGAAATATCTGAAATTCTACTACTGTAGCGTATTTTTTGTCCTTTGTAAATAAAGAAATAATTGTTTTAGGTATCAGGGGACATACTGTATATATTTTTTTTTCACATATGTGAAAAAGTTATGTGTTCTACTGAAATGTTTGGTAGTATGGCAACATCGCGATAAATATTGCCATGTTGCCGTACTTTCTCAAATTTTCTTGATTTACAGAAATAACTGAAATTCTACTACTGTCGCGTATTTTTTGTCCTTTGTAAATAAAGAAATAATTGTTTTAGGTAATAGATGGATATTTGAAGGATATCCAAAACTAGATCACATGAACAACATGACTCAAATAGTGATGTCACCCTTTTTTCCGCATTTATATCCGACTGACTTAAGTACAGAATATGTCATCGAGTGTCACAGTCAAGACTTGTGCCGAATAAGTCTAATTTTTACAGACTTTCTAATAGCAGAATCCTCAATTTTAGAGGTACATAATTTTGTCCTATTTTTTTAAATATATATTTTTTTGAAATATTTTTTTATATTTTTCCGCAGTTTTTTGATTGGAATGGTCAACGCATGTATGTCATATCCGGCAACATCTTTCGACCTCCTGTCATACTCACTTCCGGTCCATCTCTAACAATCCGGTTTTACGCCAACGGAGCAACGAATTTAGGATTCAAAGCCTCCTATTCTTTTATGCTGGGATCTCTGGATGCAAAGGCATTTGAACCAAATCTAGGTAAATATTATTTTACTCTTACTAGGATTTATTTTGTTTTAATTATTATTCCTAGGTTGTGGTGGAGAAATCAACAATTTAGGTGGAGGAATCACCATGATGGATATGGTCAGCGATAAACCCGAATTCTTTGATTGTATATGGATTATAAGACCCCCTGTACATTTCCTACACAGAAAGACACATTTGTATGTCAAAGTGGCGAATTTCAGCGATTTCGGTCAGTTAGGGAAATTTTCGGAAGTACGGCAACATCGCATAAAAACTGATGATGTTGCCCTATTTTGAAAAAATTTCAGTAGATCTCTTATTATGTAATTTTCCTAGCTGGGATGACTGAAATGGTGTTGAGACAAGGCCTGACATCTAGTGAGCCGGCCGTGGAAGTTTTTAGGTATCCTCTGTCCCGTTTTAATGCAATGGACGAGAAAGAACACGTCGTTCCTATAAATCAGGGGTTCTATATTAATCTGAGGGGGCTGTTTAAGCCCCAGTCTAGGGTTGCTTTGGTGTATGCAGCATTTAATTATAAAGGTATTTAAATATAAAAAGGTTAGGTTAGGTTAGGTTATTTTGATCTAATATCGTTTTTTTTGTATGTAGAATGTTTTTCTGGGCTGGATTTTCTCTGTCATAATATGAGATGTATTTCCACCTTGTTGAATTGTGATGGATTTGATCACTGTGGTGATAATAGTGATGAATCGCCGGATTGTTCTCAAGGTAATGATTTCAAACATATTTTTTATTAAAATTAACTTTTTTTTCTAGATCCTAGAGATCATAGAGAATATTCAAAAATTCCTAACTTTCTTTTTCCAAAAGTCGAGTCCTATGGCGATTTAACAACAGTGACATTTATTTTCTTCACTTGTACTTTTGGTAAGTTTTTTTTTAATAAAAAAATAGAAATCCCTTTTAACGTAGATTAAGTTACTGTATCTAAAAAATTAGTTTGGCGTTAAAAAGGCGTTAAGAAGACAGAAAAGGAATAGTTTTAGTGTGCGAAAAAGTGTTGCGAAATAATCTTTTTTAATCGAATGAAATACCATAATCATTATTATATTAATCATACACACGATCTTTGTTAAAGTACTTTTTTAATAACAACCTAGCATTTTCTTTTTATATATTTTTTGTATATCTTGGTTATCTTCCTTTTGAACAGCAAGGTTTGTTTATTTATATTATTTGTTTTCCGGAGGGTTAACACATGTAGATCCTCTATGTGTATTATTATTTTTTTATTGTAATTTAACTGTCAAATATTTTGTTTTAGGTTTAATAGGTGTTATTTTTGCTATGGCTTTAGTGTTATATAGACTGAACACTAGAGCAAGACACCAGAGGTGTATTGAAGATCATATGGAGACGATTCATGCGATTTTAGGTAGAATTTCAGCTCTTGCTTAGTAAAAAATTATAAGTTTTCGAATTTTCAGAAGAAGGTATGCCTGATTTGGAAGAAGAAATACACATTCACGATGAACCCCCTGATTATGAACCCCCACCTGAGTATTCTGACGTTTTTAAATATTTTAGAAAAATTGGATGGGGTGGAAACACCCATAAACAAAGGTAGGTATTATACAGGGTAAAAATTTCAAACAATTTTTTGGCCAAAAAATCTTAGGGTTGAGGTATATCTTTATTCCAGTTAAAATTCTTACATTTATTAAAGATATACTCTGTATATGTATCAAATAAAAATATTTTTGATAAGGATCGTAATTTAATAGTCGTCAGAGATCAGAACACAATACTTATACAATATGATCGAAAAAAAAACTGCGTTAGCAATAGCTATGAAATTAAAATCGCCGTCATTTTATATGTTGTAATATATGGAATGCCATGGATCGTTATTTCCAAGCCAACTGGACGCCGTTTTTCTTCGATCATACGGTATTCAGGAATATACTCAATGTCAAATGTAGAAACAAGAAAATGTTACGCAGGAAGAACTATACATAGGATGGAGAATGATGAAAAATAATACAGAAATTAATAAAAAAAAACTATTTAATTGTCCGTTCAATGAGAAAATTGTATTTTAGGTCAAATCCAGAACTAAGTCCTTTAAAAGCTCATGTTTGCAAGGAAAATTTGACCGAACTCAACGTTGCCAGTTCTAGCAGGAGCTGTCAAACCACACCTGTCAAAATACCGCGTTCTCCACCGCCTGCATATGATAATAACGGGCTGGAACTGGAAAATATACCGGGAAGTTCAAAAGATGTCGATGCAAACGGTAATTATTATTTATTTTATTTGAATTAATAGAAACATCGCTTAAAAATTAAAAATTTTGAGAGCCGGCGGATTATTTTTAATTTTTTTATTGTTCTGAATGAAAACGAGTGTGCCTATATTGGCACGTTATTACAAATCAATATATAAATAAATGTACGTTACTTTTACAAAATTGTAAAAATAATTTGGCAATTTTTGTTGTAGGTTAATTATATGTGTGCTCATTAGCTTTTTACAATTATCCAATTATATTGGTCTTGTACAAAGTGGCAACGTGGCATGCTCTCAGCACAAGGCCAAATAAATATAAGAAAAGTTCAGATGAATCTCCAGCTCTCATAAGTTCTTCTAAAATAAACCTCATATGCGTGCTTCTGGGTTCGAAAAGCATAAATGTCCTTTTTTATTTTCAGAAAATACATCCTGCCTTCCAGTGAGAACACTGAACAGTACTGACGTCACTCTACCAGATGTAACTACGTGCCAATCAACTGCTTCATCAAGATTTTTGAATTTTCGCGAAAAAAAATTCCGGAAATCACTTTCTCAACCAAATCTACCGATTTATTTTGAAAATTCAGTAGAAAATGGAATGGGTAACTTACGAAAATGCTATTCAGCTGTTTCGTCAAGATTTTGGACTTTTCATTCAATTGAAAATTCAGTAAAGTCGGTTTCACACCCGAATATAGACCTTTGCTTTGAAAATTTCACGAAAAATAGAAGAGGAATTTCAAGGAAATGCTATTCAGCTGATGAAGTTACGTCTATTTGAGGTTATGTCAATTTAATTCTATTAAAAACTATGCATGAAGTTTTGCATGATATTTTTTCATTTTTTCCTCAACCCTCAACGGCTACACTGAATAGACTACACTAGTAGACACCTCTTATTAAATTACATAATCTAACAGAAAATAAAATGGTTTTGATCTCTTTATATATTTTATTAAAAATATATACACATAACAGAAACAATTTTAGAAATCAGATATCAATCATTGATTTTTCATTAATTTTTGCTTACATTCTTTACTTGACTGTTTTGTGTACTTATATTTAACTTTTTTTAAAGTTAAGTGTACTTATAATTAACTTTTTTACGCTGCGTAGCTAGATATTCTGTGCTTATAGCTACTGTAATATATTCCTTTGTGTTTGATTTTTTTATTGTATTTTTAGAACTACTTTTATTTATTTTCTTGTAGTGAGAATGCAGCTATCTATGGTTAATTTAAAATTTCATCTTTTAATTTACATAGTCATAGTTTAAGAAGTAAAATGATATATTTATAATGACATCTTATAATAAATACAACATCAAATGAGGTAATACCGTATGATTGAATAAAAACGGTGTCAACGATGGCTATGAAATGGAGATCGCTGTCATTTTATATGTCAAATTATATGGGAAATGTCATCGATCGTCATTTCCAAGCCAACTGGACGCTGTTTTTTTTCGATCATACGGTATAATTAACTGTTATTGAGTTTTTTTTAGTTATACTGGTGTATTTATCCTTTAGACTTGACTTACTATGAACGTATAACAAGAAGTGTTAAACAACTTCTACAATTGGTAAGTTTGGTGTTTTATACCACTGTACATGTATGCAGTGAAGAAATAACAAGAAAATCTTACATTTACTTATTAATGAAGTGTCCCGTCTATTCAAATTTTTCTTTTGCCGCTCTTAATTGATTACAGCGCCATACTTATTTAGTGAGAATTTTTGGAACTATTGTCTAAATGATTATGGCGCCCCCAAACGGAAAACTTTAAAATTAATTAAATACAGGTTTCTTCCTTTGCTATATATGAGTGGCGCCATCATGTCTTAAATATTTAAACTAATCATTTACAGGTTTCTATAAAAAAAATCACAGCTAATGCTATCTAACAATAAATAGCTGAACTTCAATAATAAATTTCTTAGAATGTTAAAGAATTCTGCAATTTTAAGTTCCCACAAAGTGCCAAGTGAGATCCATCTATGAATAAAATATTGTACTAAATTTGGTTCTAACCATAGAAAAATATTTTTTTTTTATATGAGTTTTTAAAAGTAAAATATGAGTTTATTTTCAGTTTAATAACAAATTTTCTAGTTAAATATAAAATATACGATCCATATAATATATTTAATAACGAATTTTTAATATAATATATCTACAATTCGTATTTTTCAGCTTAATCTTTGAAGACAATACAATAAGACGTAACATTTTTTATTACAGATTCAGATAGGTAATAATACAATAAAGTTTTCTTATGAAGATAAGAAAGGAGAATACATCAAGTAAAATGGAAAGAAGTAAGATTTTTTTTTGGGAAAATGTCTATGTGTACATGTATAGAATTTGGTAAGAAATCCTCACCGATTCTACCCTGCTTTTCAATAGAGGTGTGGGCCGAGAAAGAGTAATGCTGGAGCAACAAAATTAGCATCCTGTTGAAAAAACGAATGCGCGAGATTTTGTTTGCTTATAATTGTTTCCTTCAATTCATTTGTGCAAATACCTCTTCAGAAAATTATACTTCCGAACATTCAGGTCCATGGAAGCTATGCTGTACATCCCAAATCTGATTTTTTCGATGATATAAAGATAATTTTTTTCTTAATTGTTGTTCCACACTGGTAGAAATGTATTATTGTTATGGGGAGATGCAGTGAATAAGGTAATCTATAATTTTTGTGTTTCAGTGGATCTTTTATTTGTTACAATTTTTGTCTAAGTAAAAACAACGTAAATGAAATATTAATAATACTAGAAAATACACATAGCTTTATATTTTACTGTATAAATATTTGTATATTACATTTCAGTATAATAATTGTTACTTCATAAATATTATAAAGAAAAATAGATTTTAATAGAAAAAATTAACTTTACATGCATTTTTAGTATTTATTATAAGATTATAACTGACGTGTATGTTTTTTTAAAATCTACTATATTTTAGGTTTTTTCTATTGATGTCCTCACTCTCACTTTTTATAAGATATAGAGACAATAGTAACATGCATTTTAAAATAATTTTGGAATCATACAAGGTGAGTGAAATATATTTTTACTTTAAAAGTTTAGTTTTTAAATGGTGTGTTGTATTTTTTTTGCACAGTAGATTTGTCATAAAAAGTTCCATAACATAATTTATACCTAGTAGTTTTTGAAATATGTATTGCCATTTTTGTACTAAATTTTCTGTTCAATTAATATTCTATCAAAATTTGTTTATCAAAACATAAAGTTAGATAAAAGCTGTATTTATTTATGATATAAAATGAAGAATGTTTCATTTGAACACAAAAATTGCATCACAAACATGTTATATAAATTTTAATAGTTATTATTTAATTTTAGGTACTGTGATGTTGTTTTATTTCGTTCAATTATATGTTAATTATAATATAGTTATTGTTAGATGAAATGAGGTGTAATATACTAGAGAGTTTTATTTTACTTATACTGATTTATTTTTTATAGACTTGGCTTATTAACAAAGAATATATAGGAAAAAGCGAAAAATGACTTCTACAAATGGTAAGTTTGGCATTTTATGCTACTATGCATGTCTACAGTGAAGAAATAACAAGAAAATCGTATTTTACTTATTAAAAAGCGTTTTCGTCTATTCAATTTTTATTTTGGCGCGTTTAATTGTTTACAGCGCCATTCTTATTTAGTGAGAATTTTTGGAACTATTGTCGAAACGATTATGGCGTCGCCATACGGAAAGTTCTTAAACTAACAAATTACAGGTTTCTATTTTTACAATGTGTTGGTGGCGCCATCATGGGTTAAGTATTTAAACTAGTCATTTATAGATTTCTGTATAAAAAAAACACTGCTATTGCTATCTAACGTTGAATAGCTGAACTTCGATAATAATTTTCTTTGAATTTTAAAGAAATCTGCAATTTTTAATTCCCAAAAAGTTTTAAGTGAGAGCCATCTATGAATCAAATTTTATAATAATTTTGATTCTAACCGCAGAAAATATATTTTTTTGTATTTAAATAATTTAAAATGTTGTTAGATTTATCATTTATTTTAATAAACTCGTTTATTTTCGGTTTGATAACAGATCTACTGGTTAAATTAAAATGTACAATTTATATAATATACCTTACAACTAATTTTTAAGGTGCTTGTCAGATATAACACCCTCCGAATTTTTAATATTATTTATCTACAATTCGTATTTTTAGTGCAATCATTGAAGTCAAAGTATATAACCGTAACAATTTTTGTTACTGATGCATATATGAAATAATACATTGTTAAAAGCTGTTTATGAAGATAAAATGGAGAAAACACCATGAAAAATGGAGAGAAATAATATTTTCTTTTGGGAAGATGTGTACTTGCATAGAATTTCATAAAAAAATCTCACAATTGTACCCTACAAGTGTGGGCTAAGAAAAAGTAAAGCTGGAGTAACAAGATCGGAATCCTGTTGAAAAAACGGATCCGCCAAATGGTTTCTGCTTATAATTGTTGCCTTCAAATAATTTCTGCAAATATCTCTTCAGAAAATTATACTTCCGAACATTCAGATGCATGGAAGCTATGCTGTACATCCCAAATCTGCTTTTTTTGATGATATAAAGATCATTTTAGTGGTTGTTCCATGCTGGTAGAAATGTATTGTTATGAGGAGATGCAGTGAATAAGGTAAACTATATTTCTTGTGTTGTTTTAGTGGATCTTTTATTTGTTACAATTTTTGTCTCAGTAAAAACAACGTAAATGAAATATTAATAATGCTAGAAAATACACATAGCTTTATACCGTATGATAAAAAAAAAACGGCGTCCAGTTGGCTTGGAAATGACAATCGATGACATTTCCTATATAATTTTACATATAAAATGACAGCGATCTTCATTTCATAGCCATCATTGACGCCGTTTTTATTTGATGATATGGTATTTTACTATATAAATATTTGTATATTACATTTCAGTATAATAATAATTGTTACTTCATATATACCGTATGATCGAAAAAAAATGGCGTCCAGTTGGCTATGAAATGACAATCGATGACATTTCCCATATAAATTTACATATAAAATGACAGTGATCTTCATTTCATAGCCATCGCTGACGCCGTTTTTATTCGATCATACGGTATTTTAAAGAAAAATAGTTTTTAATAGAAAAATTTTAGCTTACATGTATTTTTTTTTTAGTAGGTATTTATTATAACTGAGGTGTATTTTTTTTAAAATCTACTATATTTTAGGTTTTCTATTGATGTCCTCACTCTCATTTTTTATAAGATATAAAGACAATAGTAGTATGCAGTTTAAAAATAATTTTGGAACCATACAAGGTGAGTGAAATATATTTTTCTTTAAAATTGTAGTTTTTAAATGGTGTATTGTATTTTTTTGCACAGTAGATTTGTCATAAAAAGTTCCATTTGAAAAATACCATAACATAATTTATACCTAGTAGTTTTTTTGAAATATGTATTGCCATTTTGTACTAAATTTTCTGTTCAATTAATATTCTATCAAAATTTGTTTATCAAAACATAAAGTTAGATAAAAGCTGTATTTATTTATGATATAAAATGAAGAATGTTTCATTTGAACACAAAAATTGCATCACAAACATGTTATATAAATTTTAATAGTTATTATTTAATTTTAGGTACTGTGATGTTGTTTTATTTCGTTCAATTATATGTTAATTATAATATAGTTATTGTTAGATGAAATGAGGTGTAATATACTAGAGAGTTTTATTTTACTTATACTGATTTATTTTTTATAGACTTGGCTTATTAACAAAGAATATATAGGAAAAAGCGAAAAATGACTTCTACAAATGGTAAGTTTGGCATTTTATGCTACTATGCATGTCTACAGTGAAGAAATAACAAGAAAATCGTATTTTACTTATTAAAAAGCGTTTTCGTCTATTCAATTTTTTTTTTTTGGCGCGTTTAATTGTTTACAGCGCCATTCTTATTTAGTGAGAATTTTTGGAACTATTGTCGAAACGATTATGGCGTCGCCATACGGAAAGTTCTTAAACTAACAAATTACAGGTTTCTACTTTTACAATGTGTGGGTGGCGCCATCATGGGTTAAGTATTTAAACTAGTCATTTATAGATTTCTGTATAAAGAAAACACTGCTATTGCTATCTAACGTTGAATAGCTGAACTTCGATAATAATTTTCTTTGAATTTTAAAGAAATCTGCAATTTTTAATTCCCAAAAAGTTTTAAGTGAGAGCCATCTATGAATCAAATTTTATAATAATTTTGATTCTAACCCCCAGAAAATATTTTTTTTTGTATTTAAAATGTTGTTAGATAAAATAAACTCGTTTATTTTCGGTTTGATAACAGATCTACTGGTTAAATTAAAATGTACGATTTATATAATATATTTTACAACTAATTTTTAATATTATTTATCTACAATTCGTATTTTTAAGTGCAATCATTGAAGTCAAAGTATATAACCGTAACATTTTTTGTTACAGATGCAGATATGAAATAATACAGTGATAAGAGCTGTTTATGAAGATAAAATGGAGAAAACACTAAGAAAAATGGAGAGAAATATGATTTTCTTTTGGGAAGATGTGTACTTGCATAGAATTTCTTAAGAAAATCTCACAATTGTACCCTGCAAGTGTGGGCCGAGAAAAAGTAAAGCTGGAGTAACTAGATCGGAATCCTGTTGAAAAAACGGATCCGCCAAATGGTTTCTGCTTATAATTGTTGCCTTCAAATAATTTCTGCAAATACCTCTTCAGAAAATTTATACTTCCAAACATTCAAATCCATGAAAGCTATGCTGTACATCCCAAATCTGCTTTTTTCGATGATATAAAGATAATTTTGATGGTTTTTTCATGCTGGTAGAAATGTATTGTTATGAGGAGATGCAGTGAATAAGGTAAACTATATTTTTTGTGTTGTTTCAGTGGATCTTTTATTTGTTACAGTTTTCGTCTAAGTAAAAACAACGTAAACGAAATAATAATGCTAGAAAATACACATAGCTTTATATTTTACTGTATACATATTTGTATATTACATTTCAGTATAATAAAAAGCAGAAAAAAAAATATAATAAAATAAGGTTAGTTAGTTTTCCCATAGCCAATGCTTTAACTGCCAATATGCACCTAATGCAAAAAACACCACATGGGAGAGCAAATCGTAGCTAAAAAAAATTTAACAGCATACCGCTCTTTAGAGGACATCGCTTTTAGTAATATGAAAAAACAGTGTTTTCACTATGTATATTTGAAGTAAAACTTCTTACAAACAGCTATTACATTGAAGGATATAAAAAAGCACTACGTGGGAAAATCACCAGGTCCACGCAGTAGGAAAATCACCAGGTCCACGCAGTGGGAACATCACCAGGTCCCCGCAGAGGCAAAATCACCAGGTCCCGGCAGTGGGAAAACCACCAGGTCTGGGAAGCGGGAATATCACCAGGTCCCCGCAGTGGCCAAATCACCAGGTTCACGCAGTAGGAAAATAACCAGGTCCCGGCAGTAGTAAAATCACCAGGTCCACGCGGTGGGAAAATCACCAGGTCCACGCAGTGGGAAAATCACCAGGTCGCCGCAGAGGCAAAATCACCAGGTCCCGGCAGTGGGAAAACCACCAGGTCAGGGAAGCGGGAATATCACCAGGTCCCCGCAGTGGCCAAATCACCAGGTTCACGCAGTAGGAAAATAACCAGGTCCCGGCAGTAGGAAAATCACCAGGTCCACGCGGTAGGAAAATCACCAGGTTCACTCAGTGACAAAATCACCAGGTCCCCGCAGTGGCAAAATCACCAGGTCTTTGCCGCGCCGTGTCAAAGTCACCATGTCTTCGCAGTGGCAAAATCACTGATCGATGACATTTTCCATATAAATTTACATATAAAATGTCAGCGATCTTCATTTCACAGCCATCGCTGACGCCTTTTTTTCGATGATACGGTACCTAATATTGTATTTTTTAAAATATGTAGGTACTTAGAAATGATAATTTCAAATAAGGCAACTATAAATATCATTAACTGTGTATAGAGTTGCCTATATAATGAGCTAGGATTTTTAAATTATTTTTTAATAGTTTTTTAATTATAATTCAAATATTTCTAAATACAGCTAACTTAACCATGTTTTTTTTTATTTTTTATTACTATTAAAAAGGTTCTTTTTGTTACAAAAATTCCTATATATTTTATATTTTATGTACCCTATCACCTATCAATTTACTGGTTATTTAGAGTTATACCGAATGATCGAAAAACAGGGGGCCCAGTTGGCTTGGAAATGCCGATCGATGACATTTCCCATATAATTTTGCATATAAAATGACAGCGATCTTTATTTCATATCTATCGCAGACGCCGTATTTTTCATTTCATAGCAATCGCAGACGCCGTTTTTTTTTTTGATCATACGGTAGAAGTAATATTTTTTAATCAAGCTTGTTAGTGAACAATTAATGACTTATTTCTGTATTTTTCTTCCAGAACCAAGACTTTCCAGAAGGGTAGCCAGAAGATTTATTTACCTCAACATAGACATCAGCATGTCCATCAGCACCTTGGATTTTAATATACTTTTAATATTATATTGTTAATAATATAATAATATATATATTATGTTAATAAATAAATAATAATTAATAATAAATGAGTTTTATTGGACTAAAATATATTATACCGTCAATTCGTGAACAACAAGAAAATGGCATTTAATTATAACAAATGTAACCTAATATTAACGAACTTACAAGTTGTTCTGGAATAGACAGTATTCTATAATATATTCCAGCATATTCAGATACAGATATAATTTTTCAGAATAATATATTCTGACCTGCTAAATAATCAGATATTTAGATCAAAAATTCTTGAGAAAATGGTGAATGTAACTGCTTTACTCCTGGTACTGAAAAATACCGCCTCCTCGCCACTCATGTGTTCCTGATATAAATTCAAGGCGTCTCACTTTTAACAAAAGCTGTCCAAAATAATTTCAACCTGACAAAAAACGGAGTACCCGACCAACGAGTTCGAACGAGTTAGATTTTTTCGAAAAACTGCTATAACTTCCAAACTATAAGAGATATCGAGGAACGGAACTCGGCAATCGATAGGGATTCAATTCTCTATAAGGGTGCAAATTAGGGGATGATCGGAGACAAAAAGTTTTGGCGAAAATGAAGTAAGGTTAACCCCTTACCCATTTTTCGCCAAACATTTTTTTGTTTCCGATCGCGCCCTCGTTTTGCGCCCTTATAGAGGGGTTGAAATGCCTATCGAAAGCCGCCCTCCGTTCCTCTCTAGCCCTTATAGTTTCCGAGATATTAAGGGTTGAAGTTTGGAAACGAGTTCGAAGTGCTAGAGATAGCAGAAATATCGTTGAAAAATGCTTTATTTACGTGTGGTACTAAATTTGCTACTTACCTCCTCACGCTTATGCTATCCTGATAGAAAGCGGCGATTTTGGACACGGTTTAAAAATTTTCGTGCGGTCTTTGCCAAAAATTGAATTTTCTCGGATATGTATCAGGAGTACATAAGAGCGAGGAGATATTGGTACTTAATTTGCTTTTTACCTCTTCACACTTATGTGCTTCTGATAGAAATCGGTGATTTTGGACTAGGATTAAAAATGTTCGTTCAATTTTTATTAAAAGCTGAATTTTCTCGGATTTTTATCAGGAGTGCATAAGAGCGAAGAGGTAAAGGTAGGTATTATTTTTATCAAAAATACTGTCTATTCCTGCGCAACATGTTTGGTTTCTTAGTATTAGAATACATTATTTTTGTCATAATTAAATAACTTTCTATTTGTTCATGATTAGACAGTATTTCTAATATATTTTAGTTCAATAAAACTCATTTACTTAATATTAATTATTATTTATTAACATATCATTTTTTATTAACAATAATAATATAAAAAGTATATTAAAATCCAAAGTGCTGATGAACATGCGGATGTCTATGTTGAGGTAAATAAATCTTCTGGCTACCCTTCTGGAAAGTCTTCGTTCTGTAAGAAAAATATAAAAAATAATAAATTGATTGTTCACTAACAAGCTTGATTAAAAACTATTACTTCAATAATATATATGATAAAAAAAAATGGCGTCTGCGATGGCTATGAAATGAAGATCGCTATCATTTTACGTGTAAAATTATACGGGGAATGTCATCGATGTTCATTTCCAAGTCAACTAGACGCCGCTTTTTTCGATAATACGGTACAATATGATGGAAAAAAATACGGCGTCTGCGATGGCTAGGAAATATAGATCGCTGTCATTTTATATGCAAAATTACATGGGAAATGTCATCGATCGTCATTTCCAAGACAACTAGGTAGGTTTTTTATCATAAGGCGCGATTTTTTTTCGATCATACGGTATAATTTTATAACCAGTAAATTAATAGGGTATAATTTATCTGAAGTCAGTCGGAATAGATGGGATTCTTAATTTTGGTGATATCTTTGGCGCCTTGGTTGGCATTGTCGGAACGTCCACAGGAAACGTCAACGAACAAGAACCAAATTTAGTTAATTATTGTTTTTAATTGTTTAATTATTACTCTTAATTTAAATAGTCTTTGTCTATATATCTATCATCGTAAAGATATATAACATGATGTTAGATGTTAATATTTAGCAAGACAGTTACAATTCGTTATATGAATTAGTTTTTGAGAAATGATATATTTTTTTTATTTTAATTTTTATTTACCAAATTTTAAAAAAAAGCACCTTCACCATTTTGTCAGGAATATGGATTTTTATGGCTCTCTCGAACAATATTATAAAATATATAAGAATTTTTGTACCAAAGAACTTTTTTTAAATGAAATACAAGGAAAAAAACATGGTCCAATTATCTGTACTTGTTATTAAGAAATATTTTAGTTATAATAATTAAAAAACTGTTAAAACCTAAAATTAAAAAAAAGATAGGCAACTCTATATACACGTTAAGGTATTTATGGTTGCATAAACATGAAATTAAATGAGCGCCAAAATGTGTTATTTGAAATTAATCATTTATAGCTACATATTCGGCTTAAAAATATACCTTTGAATATAATTTACCTAAAATTACTTAATTTCCTCTTGAATGATGAATTTTATTTTCAATCCACTGTTGAATGTTGATTTTAATCCACCTAATGGCATCTTGAAGGGGGTTGTTGAGGTGCAGCTGTCCCAAATATCCCATACAAAAACTTAATTTTAAATGGATTTAGAAACAAAATGAAGTGAGTACATAGAAATAATATCTTTCACAGAATGAAGATAATATGGGAGACAAATAAAGAAATAGAATTATAGGGAATTCAAAAAAAAGAAAAATGCATAACTTTGAAAAGTCTCAGAAGAATGACACAAAAAATTATACATATAAGAAGACTTAGAAATGCAATCAATAGAAGAGCTCATAGAATTGAATAATGGCATTCCCATAAGAATATATGAGAGACAAATAGTGAAATAGATATATGATGCACTGTAAAAAATAAATGGTGGATATATTGAGTCAAAAGGCATAAGAATGAATAAATCACAAAAAATATACAAATATATAAGACAGTCATTGGAAGAGTATTATACAGAATTAATAAATGATATTCCAATAATAAAGAAAATATAAGCGAAAAAATTAAATAGGGATATGATGAATTGGATAAAATGGCATAAACATGGAGGTTGAATTGGGAAAGAATGGCATGAAAATAAATAAATAGCTATAATGCTAAACAGACAATAGAATTGATGAAATATGTGTCTCAGAAGAATGACACAAAAAGGAGGAGTTCATAGAATTGATGAATGATGATATTGCATTAATAAAGAGAATATAACAGACAAAAATTTTATAACAGAGGTAGGCCAAAAGCCAGAGAAAAAAAGTAAACAAATATATGGTCAATAAGAAATGGGAATTGACAAAAGCTACGCTTAGCCTCCTCTCAGAAATATCTGGTCAATATATATGACATAAAGCACATAAAAAAAAATCCTCCAGAGCATATAGGTTCGCCTCCCTTCATCAGATTTAACCCTTGGCCGACGATTAAGCCTCGCCAGTCAGTTCCCATCCCAGCTAAGCAGCCTCGTCTCGGGTCACCCTCGTCACCCATCGAGCGGACATCCACCGGGACCCCCTACAGGCGGACCCCCCTCATCATCTTCAATGTGTCCGATATCCCGCCCCCTCTACCGTCGAGACGTCACGGGATACGTGCACGAAGAAGTCTCGTAGCTCGGGTGCCAGGTCGTATCCGGCCGAAGCCTCTAGCGTTAGAACACCTAGCTCGTAAACCAGAGGGTGGTGACTCCCTTGGGTACCTATGCATGCTACATAGGTCATCGATGACCGAACATCAGGGTTAGGGGGTGACCCGGGTCTCCTCCTCTTAGGGGAGGCTAGCTATGATGCTCTGGAGTCGATGTTACTTAGGAAAATTCATTAGCAAAATGCTAGAAAAGCCAGAAGTGATTAGCTGTGAACGTGTTTTTCACTAAATGGCGAATGCGCCAGGAATTGATCGGAAATTAGTCCTTGTTTTGAGATATTTAAGCGTGTTATCGTGGGTTTAAATTATATTTAAACACAGGCAAACTAAACCAACAGAATCCGTAAAAATTCACCCATTTATGGCATATGATCTGTAAAAATTACATGAAAATGTATCATTCAAAACTAAAATTCTGTGCAAGAAATTACACAAGCAAAAATGTATTCGAAGAATAACACCGTATAAAAAATAACACATATAAAAATACTTGTAAAAATACAGTCAATGGAATGTTTTACAGAATCGATAATTATTCCCACAATGAAGAAAATATTATTGTCAAGCTCTATTATAGAAGTAAAATTCTATAAGTAGATGGTATATTTTACCAAACAAATAAGACCTATAGAATTACAGTCAATTTTATAGAATTCATAAATGGTGATATTATTTCCACTATCAAGAAAATATGGGAGCCAAGCATTTATAGAAAAATGAAAGTAAACCAAAAACCATATGAAGTACACAGTTACCAAAAAGAAAAAGAAGTGGTCAAAAGCCAAAAATTGGCCAAAATTAAAAATAGAAGGTCTGAATTTATCTATGATAATAAGGAATCATTAAAATATAACTCAGAGACGATTGGATTTTTTTTTCATAATTGAATTTAAAAATGATGAAATCCACTAATGAACATTAAAAACCAGTAAAAACGTATTTACCCAAAATAAACTAAATTTTAGATATACTTATTAAAAGACCTGATGCACTGTTGGTAATATTCATCAAAAGGATAAATGTACTGCCCTGGAATTGTATACATCCATGGATTTGTTGTAGGTACAAAATCTGTAAAAAAATAGATAATATTAGAATTGATTAATTATGCTATATCACTTGTTTTTTTTTCGCTTCATTATCATTAAAATATAACTGAAGAACTATTATATAATAAATTACTTTTAATCAGATAAAGGAACACCAACTCT